TAGCTTAAGGTCAGTGGTGAAGAGAAACTGGAAATGTCCACGTGACGGTTGGCAGTTCAGCGGGGGGGTGGACAGAATCGTGTCGTAGACGGTAGCCTGACAGCTGTTAAAGTGGGCAGCTATTTTTGGAACAGGAACTATTCGGCGCATTTATAGTCCGTAAAGGGCATGAACTATAGCCATTCTCTCGACTTTCTTTGCCGATGCATTCGTACGAAAATCCAAAACGTCAGCGCAATAAACTTACGATTTCAGCGATCGCATTCTATCATACTGAACTGCTTCCTAGAACACGTCTATTCGCTTATATCAACGCATATGTATCTCTGCAGTTAATGAATGTGCCAGCATCTGTTTCTTATTACCGATACATACATTTAAGGATCAAATGTGGGTTTCGGATGATGTAAGTCTGTCCACGAATGAATGAGAACGTTCGAGTTCCAGGTATTTGCATGCTTGAAGAAGAAGGAAGGTCGAGCACCGGATCAAATTGTTTATTATTCTGGGCTTTCGGGCTCTTGCGGGAGTCCATCTTCAGAGATAAAAGCGTCCACGAAAAGTAAGCGACAGTTATAGGGGGTATGAGCAAATCAAACGTCATAGGGAAGGGGGAGTAGAGGTAATTTTATCGCCGAGAATCTCGGAAAGATGATCTTAGCTTTGACACGCAACCAGCAGGCCAAGAAAAGGGAGGTTCTGGCGCGAAAACTGAATAAGTTGAAACCCACAGACGCCACAACCTCTTGTCCAAACAACTAACAGAACAACAATTACAGGTACTACGGCATGAAGCCTGCTTTAACAGCGCAGATGCCGACTCAGTTGACTTCATTGCTGCAGTAGAAGTGATGCTGGTTAGAACTGAAGCAACTGACGACACAAAACACTCAATCCGACAACGTGTGTCTTCCTTGCTGGTGGCTCACAACCCAGCCCGATGCATTTCGCAAAGCGAGTAAAAAGCCATGAAAGAATTGAGTACAGACAACAGTATTATCATCTTGCCTGCCGATAAGGGACGGTCCACTGTCGTGATGAATCGACAAGACTACAATGACAAGGCTAAAACTCTTCTTGACGACAGAGAGTTTTACAGACCAGCCCAGAACTCGCAAGCCAAAGCACTAGCCAACCAACTGACTAAACTACTCAGAGAATACCGGCAGAAGGATGTGATAACGATGAACGAGTGGCGCGAAATGACAGTAACGGATACCGCTCTGGTCCGATTCTACGGACTGCCAAAAATTCACAAACCGAATGTCCCATTTCGGTCAATAGTTGCCCTTAAAGGCAGCCTTACTTTTAATTTGGCAAAGTGGATGTATAGAAAACTGAAATTCCTCCAAGGCGACTCGACTACCTCAGTTCAATCAGCCTCTCAATTCCTTGAGGAACTTCGAGGTCGGACGATTCAATCGGACAAAATCATGGTCTCTTTCGATGTGACTTCCTTATTCACATCCATACCCTTAAATCTGGCGCACGAAGTCTTGCGCAAAAGACTTGAAGAAGTATACGATGAGGCTTGGTGCCCAATCAAAATTGAACACCTTATGAGGTTATCCGAATTCTGCCAGAAAACGTACTTTACCTTTGCTGGAGAAACGTACGAACAGATCAAAGGAACTACCATGGGCTCCCCGATCTCCGGTTTAGTGGCAGAACTGGTTCTACAGGAGCTAGAAAATATCACCTTTGCCCAACATGAGCCTGTCTTCTGGCGTCGATACGTCGACGACAGGTTTGTCATCGTTAAGAGGAACATGCTGCAAAACTTTCATGAATTGTTCAATGTAATATTCCCTGACATACAATTCACGAGGGAAGAGGAACAAGAGCAGCAGCTG